AACTGCACTCGAATTTACAATGAATCCGGACACGAATTGTGATGCAATAACGATTTCATTTGTAGGACTTGTATCGGTTGCGATTAATTTTTTGTATACTATACAAGGTATCATATGTACAATCCTGGTTTCGTTCCCGATCACGATAGTTTGTGTGGAGAATGCAGTAACAGCGCAATAGGATAAAACACCACCTTGCATAAAAGCTGCACACATCATAGATATATAACGGCCTATTTTCGCATGTTTTATCATTACTTGTTGATCTTCCATTCTCGTTACGATTCTCCAATCTTTCTGCACATGTTTTATGCAATAGCGTATTTCCTTTTTCCGTAATAATAATGTGGTGTAATTAATACCACCTATAAACCAATGACTCAGTGGACCGAGAACTTTCAGTTTCTCACGTAAACTATCATCTCCTAGGATTACGTGCAATAAGCAAGGAATCACGGTGAAACATATAAAGCAATAACAACAAACAATTAAAACAAAAGAAATAGTTTTCTCGAGTTTTGTAGTGGACGGAGATAGGGGCCATGTGCCTATTGATTTCAAAAACCACCGATTTAACTGTACACTGTAGTTGCTAAGACTATGATTGTTTTTGTTTGATTGTTCGATCGGTACAGATTTGATAGTCATCATCGTCACTCAACGAAGTCGCGAACACGACTGAATCGAATATTTTCCATGAATTGATATACGATATAGAGCATGGATATAGTTTCACAACGCTTGCGCAGAATTTTTTTGTCTAATGATCGATTCGGCTAGTTAGTCTCCGCAACTTGTTGCAGTGTTACAGTAAATGTATAGGGTTAAGGGTTATTGATAGCTATCGTGGAAATAAACAATGCCCGATTATTATAGCGATTTATTGCTTATTATCACGAAATAAAATTTATAAGGTATTCGTAGTATTGTGCTTAGAAAAATGAAATGTGAATAATCTTGAAAATGGTATTTTTAAAATATAGAAAAAAAATTATATTTTTGCTTCTATTTTTCAAAAGTTGTCGTTTAAAATTGTTTACATTTCTTTTGTACGAAGTAAAAGATCACACATTTCTAAAATTTAAGTATTTATCAGAAATATATATTATGTTTTGATATGTTTCAGGTTTTAAACATTTGATAAAATAAAGGAGATCAACAAAGGAATAGATCAAATCAAATCAAATGCTATTAGTGAATTTCAATTATATCATCAATTTTAAAATATACGATAATTATTTGCAAGGTATAAAATTTATGATATCCTATTTAAAATATTGCAAATTCAGAATATTGTGAAAGAATAAAAAATTTCATTCTGAATTATAATATAAAGATTGTATAATATAAAAATGAAATATGATATATATA